CAGGCTCACAGTGAAGCTCTCACAATATCTTGTTGAGTTGTGTCTCTGAGCTCAGGCATGAAATCGACCCGCCCCTGTGACTTAATGTTGAAAGACCTGGTCCACCTGATCAACAGCCGTGGCAAAGCGCGGATCAAGTGTGGAGATATCCCGTCCTCCGATGCCAGAAATAGTGAACCACGTCGGGTTAGGACGCCAGCACCGCTAAGTAACGAAAACAAAGAATAGAACGGCCCAGGCGCTGGTGGTGATTGAGCTCTTTTGCCCCAGTAGCCTACAAAAGGTATACTAGTAAAAGGAAACTAGTAACTAAGCGAACGGGGAGTGATGCCCCGAAAGCGGGCAGTAACCGCCTAAACCGCAGGGTCCGAGGATTTCGCGCTGAATCAAACCATGCAAAGAGGTTCACTATTGTTGTGAGCGAAAAATATTTGTAATGCCTTGCAGGCTGGCTTGCAGTTCTGGGTAGAAGGTTTGGATCAAAGAATACGTTGCCAGGTCGTTCCTACTCCTGAGCAGATGGCTTGACATGACGTCGAGTCCAGAATCACGTGATCGAGATAATGGCCGGCCAGAGTGCGAGTTAGCCAAAGTCTCAAGCTGGCTTCATCTGTCTCACGTTGAGATTGATTCTTTTGTTCGACATCCAACCCCGCCATTTCTCGAACTGAGCAGAAGCGCCGGGCCAGTCTGCCAACCATTCCGGACATGTTGAGGGAATGATCTTGGGTACTGCATGCCAGGCAAACCTTGACCGACCAGTCATGTAGACAGCATCGCCAGAGCGCAGTCGGATAACCTCACAACCAGTACCGTCTTCGTGGCCCACCAAAAAAAGTCCATCACACCCAAAACTGATACTAATTAAGCCTGTGTCGCATTCTTCGCTTACATCCCTGTGGACACTGAGAGTATCACCAGGAGAATAAAGGTTAACAATGGCAGCCTCCGGTTTCGTGTCAGGAAATATATTGCGCAGCAGGCTGGCTATATCTTCCGGGAACTGCGGTGGTATTTCAGCAGGATATACCTTGTCCGTCCAATTGTACTGTCCGCCAAGTGTTATCCAGCGCAGTTTTTTATCAAGGAATGATTTTATTGACAGCGGTGGGTGGACTGAGGGATCCTTCGGGGCTAGTTCTCGAGCTGGCTTATCCTGAAAAAAGGAGCCTCTTTTTTGCAGGGAGGAATTATGACCCTCCCGGCATGTTCCAGTATTGTCGTCGGGGGAGGTTTCTTGTAGATCGGGGTATGACATGTGGTAATGGAGGTGGATATTGGTCTTGTGGTTGTCGTTTGATAGATCACGGTGGAAGATGCGAGATAGCAATTCAATCTGTACAGCAGGAGGCAAAAGGGATGGTATAATACGTAGGCCTGGATAAAAGTTACGAATTTTACTATGTCAGTAATCAGTCATCTTGTCGTGGGTTGGAGAGCATCTCACCGGGCATTGCCTGATGTGTGAAAATAGGAACGTCTCTCAATTCCTCCTTAGATACCCGACATTGAAGCGACTGCTCTAGCGCCGACAAAATAGACCGACTAGACACATATCCGTCCCTCTGTAGTCCGTTATCAAGGGCATTGTTAGCTTGACGCTGGGGGTCGAGAATGAGCGGATGTGAGTCGATCTCTAAAGGTTTGAGGCTCCGATAATGTTTGTACAACTGGCGAATGGCAGCGGGCGGCCTTTCATGGGCATTACGCCGCATGATCTCCACCATTGCGAGCTGTTGTAACTGCTGAACGAGCTAGTTTTGAAGTCTACTTTCTTCCTTCAAAAGAGGTGTCGTTGGAATAAAAATATTCGGCACTGCATATTCTGCCGTCTGATATCGCTCTGTGAGTGGCCGTGGCTGGCTGGGCGGTGAGGCGCGTGTTGTGTTTGTTTGGTAAAATGGAAAAAAAAAGTAAACTCCAGAAACCAGAGAAACCGCAAAAAAAACGTCCCCTCCCCCCTCCCACCAGCACCGCCGGCACCACCAACGCCAACAACCTCTGGGAAAAGCATTCTGACAGGGCTGCCTCCTCGACAATGACATAGCACCAAGGATACTTCTGGCGTTTTCCAGAGAGGATTTGTACTAACCACTCCAGCACACATATTCAGCACACTGTTTTTTATCATTACAGCCCCGGTACGCTCGCTCCACTGCTCCCCGCTCGACCGGCCCACTCTAAGCCTTGCCGGACAGCAAGGACTATACGAACAGCGTTTGTGTAAGACTTGCGAAAAGGACATCAATCTGCAATCATGGAGAATTATCAGAAAATCGAGAAGATTGGAGAGGGTAAGCTCGAGTCTCGCAGTTATCTCGGACCGCAGCCAATCCCCATTTGGGAGTAGTGGTGATGACTTGTTTGCTAATGGGCGATGTCATATATCTAGGCACCTACGGCGTGGTCTATAAAGCTCGAGATCTCACACATCCCAATCGAATTGTTGCATTGAAGAAGATTCGACTAGAGGCTGAGGATGAAGGCGTGCCGAGCACTGCCATCCGCGAGATCTCATTGCTGAAAGAAATGAATGACCCCAACATTGTTCGACTCTTCAACATCGTCCACGCTGACGGCCACAAGCTGTATCTGGTCTTCGAATTCCTGGACCTCGACCTAAAGAAGTATATGGAGGCACTTCCCGTTAGCGAAGGTGGTCGTGGCAAGGCGCTGCCCGACGGGTCGGCACTTGATATGAATAGACTGGGGCTGGGAGAGGCCATGGTCAAAAAGTTCATGGCCCAGCTCGTCGAAGGCATACGGTACTGCCACAGCCGTCGAGTGCTTCATCGTGATCTGAAGCCCCAAAATCTTTTAATTGATCGCGAAGGTAATCTCAAGTTGGCGGATTTCGGCCTGGCCAGAGCTTTCGGTGTTCCCTTGCGTACTTACACCACGAGGTAAGTACTCTTAGTACCCAGACACAAGACGTGCGCTAACTTTCTTCCAGGTTGTTACCCTCTGGTATCGTGCGCCGGAAATCCTACTAGGTGGTCGTCAATACTCCACTGGTGTCGACATGTGGTCCGTCGGTGCTATTTTTGCTGAAATGTGCACGCGCAAGCCGTTATTCCCAGGAGATTCTGAAATTGATGAAATTTTCAAGATCTTTAAGTAAGTCTCCGTTATTCTACCTATCCCGGAGCGTCGTTTCTTTGCTTTATACTCTTTTTGTACCATTCGCTATTTCAAACTAACTCGCACGAAAATTTAGACTCCTCGGAACCCCGGACGAGAATTCCTGGCCCGGTGTCACTTCATTCCCCGACTTCAAAGTCTCATTTCCTAAATGGAAGCGTGAGGAGACGCGAAAGCTGGTTCCCGGCCTGGAACGGAACGGTCTCGACCTTTTAGATGCAATGCTCGAATATGACCCTGCACGACGTATATCCGCGAAGCAAGCCTGTATGCACCCGTATTTCCAAGCTGGCAGCTCGGCATATTCGGGACGCGAAAGATTGCCTCCATGTCCATGAGTAATGATGTCCCTATCCACGTCCTGTGTTTCCCTTCTTCTTCATCCGTTTATCGCTCTCACCCACACGCTCTCTCTTCCTCGTTTCCTTTGTTTTCTCTCTTTAATTTCCCCTTTACTTGCCGTTGCCATTCTCCGACCTTGGAGACTTTGTCCTTTTGCTTTTCCTTTTACAATGGGTAACTCTATTCAGAATCACGAGGCGCGGGTTATCTACTTTCATTTTCACCCTTGTTTCTTTTTATAGCGGGAGCAATGAGGCTGAGGCTTTTTCTTTTGTCTAGCAAATAACTGTTCTTGCTTAGATCAATTTTTTAATGTTATTGTGATAAATTTTCTTCTGTCTCTTTTCCTTCCATTTTCTTTCCCCTTTCTTCCCGTCAGCATGATACCTTCGCTTATCTTTGCAATTTATAGGAACTATGCTTATGTGATGAGAAAATATTTCCACCGGTTCTCAGGTCCCCTTTATTAAAAGCTTGATATATACATATATATATATCTTGCATTATTAGGAGTTCCTCCGCTGGTGAACTGGATACTAAGGAATAGAGAGAGGCACTTCGGTGAATTGCGAACCACGGGAGTATTTTAGGACCTTAGACTTCATCGGTGAAGTGAGAACTAAGGCGTTCGACGGCTACTTTTCGGCTACTTTTCGACTCGTTGACAGCTAACGAGTATAGAACCGCATTCCTAGGTCGAATACCTACCTACCGGAGGAATCTTGATATACGGATCCTCCCATTGTTCACATAACCTCGTATAACATCTCTGTCGCGAGAGTAACGATGTATTGGTCTGCTGCACGCCTCTGTCATGAACTGAAACGGCGAATTTGAGAGCAATATCTCTCTTTAGACTGCCGTTCCCGTAGGGATGGGATGGTCTAGATAATGCTATTAAGGCTAGGCGCGAGTGCTGGTGTTTTACCGTGGGCTTTGATGTTGCCCTAAACAGCTCCTGCCTCGACCGCCATTGCTTTCGAGAATCACCATTCTCTGATTTGGATATCTGATAGGTAGGAGGATATGAAATTGTCTTCCCCTTTGACAACATATGTTTGGTAATCTCTCTGAAGCTCGGCAAATACTCATTACGAGAGCAAACCCCAATTGCACGCACTTGAAATTTAGATTATATGCACTGTCTTGGGCTGCAATAAAGGGCGCCACTAAAGGCATCAACCATGTCCCAAGAAAGATATTTAATCGCCGCCCATTGTCCCATGCTACAAAAAATGGCCATGCAGCTATAGTACAGCTCTTGTTGGCAAGGATTGGCGTTGATATCAATTCGGCAGATTGTGGCAATTCCTACCATCGAACTCCTTCGGACCACAAGTTCTGCCAAAGCTGACTTGCTGGCAACACATTTCAGTCTATGTATGCCTGCTCGACGTCGTCAAATAATGGTGGCTTCGTCTTTTTACCTCTGTTCATCTGTTATGTAGCATTTCAGCGGTGTTCCATTTATTGAAATATGTTATTAGTAATAAGTTTTACCATCTTCGTTAAGTAACTTAATCAGGGGAGCATCTCTACTTGAGGATCAGAGGATTGTGTAGAAGAAACCCCCCTCTCATAGGAATCATGGGCCACAAAGCACAAACAGAGAAAACCTAAACAGAAGCTGGTTGGGCGGGGGGTAGGTAGGAAGCGATGACACTGCTGTCTGGAAAAATCTATACTCTGGAATTTTTGAACGCAGGCCCAGAGGGAGGCCAGGAGATGATAATAACGGCCAAGCAGGGCTCAACCACCTAAACACAGAGCTCTAATCAAACCGCAGAACATGTTACAAGTTTTCCACACTGGCAGCGGCACCATACATATATATGCTTTTGTCCAGCATAGCATCAGGGTGAGAATCTTGTAAGGGAAATATTAAACGCAAATCCACCAATATCGACTTCTTTTTCCGGTACTGAGGCTACATAAATATACCAACCAACCTGCGCCCATGTCGGCGTCTTTGTACCCCACCTCCTGTGTGCCAGTATCTAGATCGAACTTAATGCAGAATGCATTTCAGTATCAATGAAGCGATGTGCAGTGCTTTGAGAGGAACGCTCTGTTACCAGCAAGGTAAAAAATGGGAGCAACTCACTCCTTAGAAGCGTCGAGAAGCAAAGGGCCGAGAACATAGGAGGAGCCAGTAATAAGCTCCGCACGGCACAGGTGCGATGCGAAGCTATCCTCAATGCCCGTGGCGGAGTAACTGGTAGCTTGTAGACTTGCAAATCGCAGTGAGGAACCTAGCGAGTGCGGGGATGGGGATAACTCTATTGTAGAGGGGGGTAGGGGATTGGAAGATTGAATGGAGAAAGGAGAGTCAGCACCTTGGAGGAACCGCAGAGCCATGAGAGATTCTCGTCCCCGGGCCGGGTTGAAAAATGGGAATTGCTATAGAGCATTCAGTAGTTAGTTAAATATGACATTGAGCGTATCCGGTCTTGACTGTGGCAGTTACAGATTGGAACCATTCTTGTTGGTTGATGCCAGCTTGATGAGAGAAAGAGGCGTAATCTGAAGAAACAAGTCCTCCGCATATTGCAGTGGTTCAAGCTCAGGAACACGATATAGTTAAGCTTGATGAGCATTTTGGTTCCTTTTGAGCGGTTCTGAGAAAGTTTCGGGCTCAGCCTTAAATCTGTATGTAGCAAGCGGCTCGAACCGGATCGCTGTGACAGCAGTCTGACAGCAGTGACAGCCTGACAGGCGCATCTTTTGAGGGCGGTGCACTTGGTAAGTTAGTTACTGTGTAAGTTGGTAGTCAAGATGCTAGCATGTCGGATTCTTCAACAGTTCCTGATCCATGCCAGTGGTGGGATGGTGTAGTTACTATACTCTGTTATACTCGCCAGCGGGGCATGTTGCAACGCGGAGGCTGTTGCCTAGGCCTGGAGGGGATAGCCGGGGGCGAGTCGTCCTGCTTGCGAACTATTTATTAGTTATATAATTAGTAACTCCCTGCCGCCTGGCCGGGGGATTTTTTTGTGAAAATTATGAAGACACTTCATGGATGAGATATCCGGCCAAGACACAACATTGTATTGTCGTGAATTCGCAACATGATCAAGTGAGTCTTATTAAATATACTGACTATCGAGGAGGCTCCAGTGTATCCTTGATATTTCTATAAATAAGCACTAATCTTCGAGTTATTCTTCCCATCGCAAACCGCAGTGTACATAACAATTGATATAACTATACGGCTGGGTGACTGAGTCTAGAGATTCGCTTCTGCCTTGAAAGCTGGAGGCCGACTCAAGAGTGCCATAGTTAGCCATGAGGTTCGCGCGCCAGGTATGGACGCTGACGGTGAAGAACCTCTTGCTCACTCTCGTGCGGCCTTACTTGACGACACCATTGCGGGCTTTCTTGTTACCCGTGATTTTCATAGCATTTCTGTACGGTTTCCTGTCCTGTCCGTCCGCGCCATGGCTCTCTCTCCTTGTGGCTAACAGCATATCTACCTGCCGTCAGGTCCTATGCTCGTAACCTCTTCGTCCCCCCTGCTGTGTATGGCATTGGCGATGCAACTCCAGTCCGTTCTATCCCCGAAGCCCTCAGCGGCGTCTCTGGTGGTAGGAATAAAGTTGTTTTCGTAAATAATGGCTTGACCGGTGGCGATATAGAGCGTGTGATACTGCGGGTAGCCTCACCCTTCAGAGAAAGCGGGAGGATCGTCGAAATTTTATCTTCGCCCGACAACCTATCAGATTCGTGTCGGAGCACTCTGCGGGGAACAAGTCCGTGTATCGTCGCTGCTGTTTTTTATTCGTCGCCCAACGAAGGACCGGGCGAGCGATGGAACTATACAATCAAAGCCGACGGTTCTTTGGGAGGTTTCAAAATCCGTACGGACAGGACGGACAATGACGCGGAGATATACGTTCTTCCTTTTCAACATGCAATGGACGCGGCGATTGCGTCTCTCAACGATACAGTAAAGGATTCTGTGCTCGACCAAGAGGTTTGTGGTTTCCCGCCTCACATCGGATCTCTCCATTACGGCACTAATTCATTTCTATTTTCCTCTCGTTGTATAGATAATGGAATACCCGTTTACCTCGAAAACGGCCGACGAACGAGCAGATGAGATCCGAGTAAGGTATACAGGGTCTATCATGAACTTCCTTGGCGTTGCCATTTTCATCGGTATGGTTGGTGTCACCTACCAACTGACCGGCTTAGTCGCCGCTGAACGCGAGTTGGGCATGAGTCAACTTATCGATTGTATGATTCCAAGTCGTTCTCCGTGGATACCTCAGGCGGTGCGATTTCTCTCAGCTCATCTTGCTCTTGACATGATTTACGCCCCGGGCTGGATTGTCATGGCTATAATCCTAAACTTCGGAGTCTATAGCAAGTCGTCTCATGCCATTTTGATCATATACCATCTCCTTGCTGGCTTGGCCCTCTCATCTTTCTCCCTGTTCGGGGCGTCTTTTTTCAAACGGGCTCAGCTCAGTGGCATTACGGCTGTGATAGTCTGTCTTTTGCTTGGTGTTATCGCCCAAGTAATTGGCCCCGAGTCCAACGCGGGCGTTGGGATTCTCACTTTCCTCTTCCCACCTATGAATTATGTTTACTTTATCATTTTAATGGCACGATGGGAGCGCCAGAACCTGCCAACTAATCTCGTCAAAGCCGCGCCTGAGTCTCCTTGGACAATTCCCGGTATCGCCCTTTGCGTATTTCTAATAGTCCAGATTGTGGTGTATCCAGTCTTAGCTGGTGTGATGGAACGCCTGCTCTACGGTACCCAATCCAGGGGCAGAACCATCACGAAATCTGGTACCACCTCTGCTGCTGTATCCTTAACCAACTTTACCAAGATATATCCTGTGAACTGGTTGTATAGGAATATCGGGCTTTTTTTTGGCAGTCGTCGGCAACCAGTTGTGGCTGTCAATAACCTTACCCTGAATGTCACAAAGGGTGAGATAATGGTTCTGCTGGGTGCGAATGGCAGCGGCAAATCTACAACGTTAGATGCAATCTCTGGGCTCTCCAAAGTAACGTCCGGGGAGGTCACAGTCAACTATTCAGATGGAGAGGGTGGATTTGGATTATGTCCGCAGAAGAATGTTCTCTGGGATCGACTCACGGTTATGGAGCACATAAAGGTGTTTAATAAGCTCAAAGCTGAGGGGACTGTGGATACAAATGAGCATTTAACCCAGCTGATCGAGGCCTGCGACTTGGGGAAAAAGGTCAATGCGTGGTCTAGATCACTTTCCGGAGGACAAAAGCGAAAACTGCAGTTGGCTATGATGTTCACTGGCGGTTCGTCAATATGCTGCGTTGATGAAGTGTCTTCCGGCCTAGATCCAATCTCTCGAAGGAGAATCTGGGATATTCTACTCGCAGAACGGGGTAAACGAACAATTGTGTTAACAACACACTTCTTGGACGAGGCTGATCTCCTAGCTGATCACATTGGGATCTTATCAAAAGGAGTATTAAAAGCTCAAGGCTCGAGCGTTGAACTGAAGCATAACCTCGGCTCTGGGTATCGGATTCACGTTTACAATGTCCCTGGATCTGAGAGTGCGGCAATCCCACAGTTTCATGGTATTCCGCGCGAAGACAATTATGACGAAACCGTCTACAACGTTCCCGATTCTGCGCAAGCGGCGGCATTTGTCTCTCGTTTAGAAGAGCTCGGTATCACAGAGTACCGTGTCAGCGGCCCAACCATTGAGGATGTGTTCCTGAAAGTGGCAGAGGAGATGGGTCGATCATATGTGCATGGCGATGACGAACCCAAAGAAGGCAAAACTGAATACCAGGCACCCGACTTGCTTACTGGTGGCCAGATAGGCATGGCACGTCAAGCCTGGATTCTGTTTTGCAAGAGAGCAATAATTCTGCGTCGGAATTGGCTTCCTTATACTGCAGCCTTCCTTATACCCGTGATTGCAGCTAGCCTTGTCACGCTCTCCCTCAAGGGCTCTAAGCGACCAGGATGTATGGGGCCAGAGACGGTGCTTCAAGGTGATATCAAGTCGATACTATCGCAGCTTAACCTCAATTTGGTTGTTGGACCGTCGAACAAGTTCTCCTCACTCTCACTAGCTCCCAGTGAAGGCGGACCTGGTGGCCTGGATCTTTCATATTTGCATAACAGAACCCATTTTGTCAACACCCTCCCAGAGTTCAATAATTACATCGATACGAATTTCCGCAATGTCACGCCAGGCGGTTTTTTCCTTGGGGATGATTCTTCGCCCCCTACTTTTGCTTGGAGGGGTGACGGTGACGTCTCATTTGCGGTGATCATACAAAATTCAATGGATAGTCTGCTGACAGGCATACAAATCGATACTCAATACCAAAGATTTGAAATCCCCTGGGCAAACAACTCGGCAGACTCCCTAATACTAATCACCTACTTTGGTCTGGCCTTGGCTGCCTACCCGGCTTTCTTCTCACTTTATATGACTATAGAACGGTTGCGCAACATTCGAGCCTTGCACTATAGCAATGGCGTTCGGAGTCTTCCGCTTTGGCTAGCATATGTCTCTTTCGATTTTTTAATCGTCATAGCTAGCACTGTTTTAACCATCGTGATTTGCGTTGCTGTGTCAAGGGAGTGGTACCATATTGGGTATTTATTTGTTGTCCTGTTCCTCTATGGTTTGGCATCGACGTTACTTGCGTATGTCATATCGAGTTTTGCAAAATCTCAGCTCGCCGCATTTGCCTTTGCGGCCGGCGGACAAGCGTGAGTGATCTTCCTTGGATCCCAGAAAACGGTTGTTGCCATATTGACATGAATTAGGGTTGGCTTCTTGCTTTATCTTATCGCGTACTTGTCAGTTCTGACTTACATCCCGTTTGACAAGATCGACCGCGTGCTCAACGTTGTGCACTTCGTCATCGCTGCCTTTGTGCCCATTGGCAATGTAGTTCGAGCTTTGTTTGTGTCTCTCAACCTTTTCTCCATCCTGTGTCGGGATAAAGAGGTTGCTACGTATCCTGGGGAAATCACCCTCTATGGTGGGCCTATATTATACCTTTCTCTACAATCGTTGCTTCTGTTTGGTGTATTGCTGTGGCAGGACAGCGGCCCACTACTCAAAAGGTTTAGAAAAGATGTCAAAGGAGAAGATCCCGAGATTGATGTCGCCAACGACGGAGATCTTGGCAATGAACTTGCTCGGATGTCCGCCTTCAATGATGGCCTCAAAGTGGTACATCTAACTAAATCATTTGGACAGTTCGTGGCTGTTCAGGACATTACTTTTGGCGTTGCCCGTGGTGAAGTATTCGCGCTTCTTGGACCCAATGGTGCCGGAAAATCCACCACCATTACACTTATCAGAGGAGACATCCAACCATCGCGAAATGGCGGTGAAATCTTCGTCGAGAATATCCCGGTTTCCAAACAACGCGCCGCCGCACGCGCCCATCTGGGAGTATGCCCTCAATTTGACGCCATAGATCAGATGACCGTCCTCGAGCATCTGAGATTTTATGCCCGTATCCGTGGCGTCCCTGACGTCGAACATAACGTCAGAGAGGTCATCCGTGCTGTTGGCCTTACGCCCTATGGCGATCGAATGGCTTCCAACCTATCTGGCGGTAATAAACGAAAACTGTCACTGGGGATTGCATTGATGGGCAACCCAACAGTTTTACTGCTTGATGAGCCCTCATCCGGAATGGATGCAGCCTCCAAGCGTGTTATGTGGAGAACACTTGCGTCCATCGTTCCCGGGCGCTCATTGGTCTTGACAACACACTCAATGGAGGAGGCAGACGCTCTCGCTAATCGGGCCGGTATCATGGCTAAAACGATGCTTGCTCTCGGCACCACAGACGACCTCCGCCGCCGCCATGGTAACGTTTACTATGTACATATCGTGCACAAATCCGCGCCTCACACTCCAGAAGCCGATATGGAGCGAATGCGCAATTGGGTTTCGACCACCCTTCCTAGTGCATCGATCGAGCAAAAGACCTACCACGGCCAACTACGGTTTAGCGTCCCTGGCTTATCATCTGTGGCCACGCGGGGTTCGGATTCAAAGAACTGGATCTCGTCTCAGAACAATGCTGATCACCAAATCTCGTACAATTTTGGCGAGAAGGGTCCTGCCGACACTGCTGCGTCCTTCTCGCCACCAAATCCATCTTCCCCTGGCCTACTTGCTGCTACTGGCGCTGGCATCAATGTTAGCAAGCTCTTCACCCTTCTTGAGCGCAACAAGGATACGCTTGGCTTCGAGTACTATTCTGTCAGCCAAACGACCCTTGACCAGGTCTTCCTATCTATCGTTGGCAAACACAATATTGCGGAAGAAGGCGAGTAAAAATAGGTGGTGGTGTGGGATGTGCATGAGCGATTCTTTCATTGCTTGCCTCACCTTTTCTTTATCTAAACTATATATATATATATATATAAAATGTTCCTTTACGAAATGGATCACACCATGACCTAGATCACTTTGTACCAATACACTAATTTTAGTTGTTAACTATGAGAGAGTAGTCAAAGGCGAACAAGTCGAACACGGCAAGGTACCTTCTCATACTAAATTCGCGCAGTGGCACAGTACAAAGTGATCCAGCTCGTGGTGTGATCCATTTCGTCGCGGGATATTTTATATATGTCCAACTTCTCATGGCTGTCTATATCTTCCACGCCGTATTCCTTGTATATAATCTACTTCTTTGCATATCCTGTGGTTCCCATCCAAAACCCGCACATAACACTACCACTCCTTTCCTAACTTCTTTTCTTCTTTCTTCTTTTATCTTTATCTATTTATTTTCTTTTTTGCCTATTGCCACCTTTTCCCTCCGTGTTAGAATTCAATATCAGTATCAGGATTTTCTTCTGCTCCTATGAACCAAACGTATCGTATCATTTTTCATTATTATGCAGTGTGCGATCAGAAAAGCTGAAGGATTTTGGCTGTCAGAGTGTCACAAGATTCAGGAGGCTGACTGCTCAAAGGCAACAAACATCCTTTTCCATAACTAGGGGGAATCGGCAGAGAAAAGCGGGTTGATTTGCCAGTAACTACATTAACTAAGCAAGAGATTGTTAGTTACCAGGAAATATCCCCGTGTCTATCATCCCGTTTCAGCTCCCACTCATTTAAGCTCGGACGGGGCCTCTCACAGTTCAGTATCTAGTGCTGAGGCGGTGGCGGGACCAGCTATATGAATGGCTAGAATGCTTTAAGTCCTTAGATTCTTTACTAGCTCTCTACTCCGTACTTCCACCAACTTACACCTTCACAGCAAGAATGTAAGCTCTCACTCATGACACCCGAGAATGAGCAAGGCTACTCTAGTTAAGGCTCCAGGCAACAGAATGGAAAGGATAATGTAAGTAGCTACTCTTGATTCTCTCTCCCCAGCCGTAAAGTTGACTTTGTACATATTTAGGGGGCGGTGAATTCCCCGCGTATGTTATCCGCATCTTACAGATGAGTTGGCTCTAGACACCCAACTATTGCTATGTAAGATCCTTCACAAGCGTATAAATACATGCACACCCACCCCTGAGCATGGAGAGGGAGACGGGAACTATTGTCCGGCATACAGAACATCCTATCTGTCTAAAGTAGTGCACGCGGCTTATGCAGTTCGTGGTGTTTGCTCCGACCCTGGCTCTTCGGCATATGTCTTGATTACGGCCAGGTTGGATGAAGCTCCCCTCAGCTGGAGATAACGAACAGATTTCACCACGAACTCGCGCGCAGAGCCACATGGTATAAAACTCTATTTAATAACCCCTGGAGTATGAGTGTCAGAAGTTGACGACTGTTATTTAACCTAAACCATTTGTTTCATAAGATTGATTACCAGGGAAAATATGAGAGAAGAGAAAATTTGAATTGGTGTTCCCTAAACTGCATATATCCAATGGATAGGGGTGTGAGTTCGTGGTGAACTAATAATACTATGCGTATGTTAGAGCTACTACGTTAAGAATAGTTACCTCTGAAGCTTGAGCAATTCTCGATCCATTGCCCCAGTAATGTTTCCCCTTTTTAACCAGGGAACTTCCCACGTTAATTATCTCTCCGATGGCTTGGCCAAGGGTCCGGAGGCCGCCACGAGGCCAGGTTCCAGGACAGTGGATTACAGGTAGCTTCGGGATGTCTGGTGGTGCATTTTCCCCAGTAATGAGGATGTGCCGGACGAATTAACTCGAACTCTTTGATAGAGATTTTCATAATTTTCTACGCTGTGCATGATACAAATGGCCTTTGGAAGTTTTCGTTAGCTCTTCTGCGTATTTCAATGCCACAGCTATGACTAACTAATCAAATATCATGCAGTAATTTGTATGGAGTTCTCCGTACATTTATGTATGGGATATATATATACATCGCCACAGTTTCTCAACATCTATGTAGATTCAGTTCTATATTTTAACTTCAACACATCACCCACATAGAGAAAGAGCCTGGGGAATATGGATAAAAATCATCTCTCCGAAAGCTGTCCTGAAGATGTGTGAGACATATCTACGCGTAAGTTAGTAGTAGATGGATCCGCAAACGCCTCTGGCAGAACGGCCTAGTTTAAAAATTGGCGTTGGAGGCGTATTTAGTGCACAGACAGGCCCTATTCTAATTAAGAGCATTTACAAACCTAGGATCCATCTACATAGTAGTTGAAATGTCCGTTAATGAACTTGTCAGCAGGTGAGCTTTATATGAACTATAATACTGGGATAAGGCCGCGGCTATATAAGAAAGGTTTCATCTAACTTAGCTTACTCCGTACTTAAAGCTCCAGATTTAAATGCTTGCCCTCTATATTTGTTTATTTCCGCCAAATATCTACATACACTAAATTATCCTAGCAGAGAATGAATCATGCTCATATGTGCATCTAAATTTGTATATATTTGTATATATTTGTATATTTATTTTGGCATGAAAATGCGAAGAAAAATACTGGTGACTTCGGGAAGTTGAAAATTCCCTTCTAGCTCCGGGAATTAGGGCTTGATCACATCACGTGGATATGCCAAGGGTTCTATGAAGCTTTCTCCTGAAGAAAACTAAAACTCATCATTCTTCAAGATATGTTTGACCTGCGCGGTGAGATCTTGTTACTGGGAATGCTAGCTTTGAGCTTTGATAGCGATGATTTTCCGCATCCAGATGGAACTCCGCACCTTATAGCCCGGAACCCGCGAGGCTACGGCACCTTTTCCCTTGCTGACTGCGGAGAATAATCTATCACCGCTTTCAGTGGAGCGATGAAACAATGCTGCCAGCCCCAATTGCGTGTTGTTACCAAACAAGTTCTTCGAGTAGAACACTCTGACAGATGCTCTACTACAATATAATTCCCCGACGGGGGCTAGCAATCCGCTAGCTAAAACCCTTGCTGTCGCCCCTTTTCAATGGAGCTTACTATGTATAGCTCCTCCCACTGTTTGTCAAGTTGATTCTGCGTGTCTGGGTTAATATAATGAATGACTGAAAGCATGAAGAGCTATGGTTGCTTTCAGCTTTCTCTAGCTTATATATTAAACTATTTGACTGCTGTATCACCGAACAGCGACTTCTTTCTCCCCACAATGCACTCTTTACTTATGTTCTTTATATTGTACCATTTGACTGCTACTACGGAGTACAGCATAGAGCAGTGATTTCTTTCGAATTTCGACACTCATTAATTTTCCTTATCTTCTTAGCCTTCTTTCCTTAACACTTCTTTCGCTTCTGAGCGGCGAATTATTTCCCCCACAGAAATGGGCGCCACCATTACGAATGACAAGCTGGTTCCAGCAATTGGAGACCAGGGAATTGACGGAAACATGAGTATTCTAAGTTTTAACAACTCTGAACTCGCTGACGAAGGGGATGTCGAACTTCTCGGTCAGTGATTCCTGACTTCTTTTGATTTTTTTTTGTAGTTATCATACTGACAACTACTCCGTCGACTACTATTTAGCGACAATGGGTTATAAACAGGAACTTCGACGTCAATATTCCTCAATTCATATGTTTGCCATTGCTTTTAGCGTTATGGGCCTTTTACCATCAATTGCAGCATCCTTGACTTTCTCAATGCCCGCGGGGCCTGCTGGTATGGTTTGGGTATGTTTACTGTCGCATTTAAACCGATGGTGAAGTGTGAAATGCGCCAACTGACTAGATTTCCTGGAATTTCTAGGGTTGGCTTACTGCAAGCGGCTTTATTTTTATCGTTGGTCTCGCAATAGTAGGTTTAATATGATATCATAATATGACTCTCTTTTATGACTCTCTAATAACATTTTCTTCCAGGCTGATCTCGCATCTTCACTCCCTACATCTGGCGGGTTGTACTGGTGGACACATTATTTTGCAAAAGAGAAGTTTAAAAACCCTCTAAGCTTTCTTGTCGGATATAGCGGTACAATTGGGCTTGTTGGAGGAACATGTTCAGTTGACTGTATGTATATTTTCAGAACCCTCAATCTCTTGCTCTTCTATTGACTTTTTCACAGATGGATTTGCTTTGATGATCTTATCAATTCCATCCATTGCTTCAAACGGTGAATGGACTGCGTCCTCTCCTGTTGTATTTGGAGTCTTTGTAGGGTGTGTAATCACCCATGCAATTCTGGCAACATTTGCTGCCAAGAACATGCACAAGATTCAGACTGCCTTTATTGTGGCTAATGTGTTGCTGGTTATGGCCACTGTGATTTTATTACCAATTGGTAAATCCAGAACTGGGCAAGGTCTGAACTCTAAGGATTATGTGTTTTTCCATCAGGATAATTTTACCACTTGGCCCTCTGGCTGGACATTCATGCTTGCTTGGTTGTCTCCTATCTGGTCAATTGGAGGTGTTGATTCCTGTGTCTATATGAGTGAAGAGGCAATGGATGCACCAAAGGCAGTTCCTCGCGGTATCTTAGGATCTATTGCAGCGTGCTGGGTTCTTGGGTTTATCTCCATCTGTGTAATTGCAGCATGTATGAATCCAGACATTGGAAGTCTATTACAGAGTCCTTTTGGACAACCAATGGCCCAGGTATGTGCTTCTATTGATAGTTGGACAGACTTCTATGTGCTCTCTCGCTAACTATACTAGATTTATTATGATGCTCTCGGAAAAAGCGGCGCGATTGCTTTTATGGTGCTTATGGCATGCCTGCAGTATTTCATGGGATTGAGTCTGGTAAGGCTTCTAGAGCTGTAGCCCAACGAAATAAACAATTACGTTACTAATTGGACAATAATGTAGCTCCTGGCTGCATCCCGACAAAGTTGGGCATTCGCTCGAGATGGCGCACTCCCCTTCTCCACTTTTTTCCGCGTCGTTAGTACGAGAATTCATTTTCAACCTGTGCGAACTGTCTGGGGGTGTGCGGGATCCGCGATCGCCGTTGGTCTCCTCTGCTTGATCCATCCCACCGCTGCAAAAGCCCTCTTTTCTCTTGGTGTCGCCGCAAATGACCTAGCCTGGGCCATAGCGATTTTTTGCCGTGTTGCTTGGGGTCGAAAGAAATTCACACCAGGCCCATTTTACACTGGCCGACTGAGCACACCGATTGCTATCGCCGCGCTGATCTATCTGGCATTCGCCATCTCGCTCTGCATGTTCCCCACACAAGGGCCACACCCAACAGGTACGCGATCCCAATGGTTTCTAATACACCTCAAATGTTGATTTCTCAATTTCCTTATTTGGTGATCCGAGGCTAACCTAAGAAATAATTAACAGCGGAAACCATGAACTACACTGTGGTGGTCAACGTAACTATTTGGGGAGGTGCTCTGTTATATTATTTCCTCTTCGCAAGAAAATGGTTCAATGGACCCAAGACGACTTTGAATTAAATGCAGGATTATGTCCTCCACAAAAAGAAAATGAACGGGAAACCTGACGCCCCCTGCGATGCTCGGGAGTTGACATAACACATATTGTTTTCCCAATCGAATCTGCCCACTACAGAGTCAGTTGCCGGACAGCTAGACAGAGAGGGTTAAGGTCCTCTCAACACACCACCTATGAGAAGATTGATTTTCTGCGAAACGTCGCGGAACTACCACCGTGTTGTTGAATACAGGCTACATAACAGCTACAGTTTGTTGACACATCCCAACCCACAAGAATGGAGTCATGTCTGCTGGCGGTAGTGAGGGGCTTTGGTAGAAATGGTTTGTCTTATCGGGTGCGGGCACCCACTGAATCTCTACTTAAAAGAAGTGGAGATTTCGGGCCGCTGAATTAGATTTTGATTTATAGGCGCTTTGCAGCAAAGGTATTAGAAATATTGGGGCGTATGGTTTATTTAATTGATATTTATTTGTGTATATAGTTCTCTTAACAGTGTTCTATACATCTTTTTAATATTTATAGACTTTGCTAGATTTCTTCTAAAGTTATTCACTGTAGTTATCTCTTTTATTAATACTACTAATAAATATTCAAAGCCAACTTGGATGAGAGGGGCAGATTTGAAGCTGAAGTTGCCTAACTACAGTTACTCTTTACGATGACTCATGTTCTGTAGTTTGAATAAGGGAACTAACTTACTTCGGTTCTGATCAATCGGAGAGCAGTGATTGATCAAACTTTTTGCCTTTCTCTTCCATTGCTTCGCTCGCTCTTCCGCTATAATGACCGGGTCATTCATTAATCACTAACTATAGTTTTCTAGCCGCTCGGCTCACCGAAGGATCGAATTAGGGCACCGCTGACCACGTGCTCCCGGCTATATAATCAACCCCTCCAACCTCAAGCCGAGTACTTGCATGTATCTTCTTCCCCCGTCAGACGTCTGACAAACCTCAATTCCAGCTCAGCCATCTTCCGAGATAGCTATACTTCTCTTTCAATCAATTCTCCCTTCTCACCTCTAGCTTCCGAACAGCTTTTCATCTGGGTACGGCTCAGCATGGATAGCGACATCGTCCTCTCTTGCAATGGAGTTGCCATATGGTCAAGGTATTGTTGAAAAAACATGCGTGCACATGGCAGGTGTTCGACCAGTTCCATGTTCCACTCAGCGCCCGGTTATCATTTATATTCTCTTCTCTAAAAGCTTGTGCCCTTGTGGATATAATATATGCATATCTGGCCACACTTTTTTTTGAATTGGACTGGGCTTTACACGCTGGTGGGGCATGGAGCTGGTCGTTCTGAGATTATACTGTCTGAACTTGATCTGGGTAATTCCAGCGAAAGGACATGTTACGCTTAATATCCAAGGCTCCCTATTTGTGTTGGTGTTGTTGATATGCTGACTCTGGCAGTGACACTCAATTGTTGAACTTACATCGTTCCTGTTGCCATCATGTCTACCGATAAGATTACTTTCTTGACCAATTGGTATGTTTTTTGAGCTCGATGATGGGCATGCTTAATATATCCAGCTACATCCAGCTACATCGAACTCCAGTTTTCTGAGAATAGTTTAATTGAATGATGTGAAGGCATGCGACGCCGTATCATATCCCCCTTTACCTCGCGCAATCCAAGGGCTATTTCAAGGATGAGGGCATCAAAGTGGCCCTTCTTGAGCCTAATGACCCGTCTGACGTGACCGAGATCATTGGGAGTGGAAAGGTTGACATGGGCTTCAAAGCCATGATCCATACCCTCGCTGTTAGTGCACACTCATTTTACTACATGTAATGAAAACAGAGATGCTCATGGATTCATCTAGGCGAAAGCTCGCAACTTCCCAGTTGTTTCCGTCGGATCGCTGCTGGACGAGCCTTTTACCGGTATTGTCTACTTGAAGGACAGCGGTATTACCACTGACTTCCGCACCCTCAAAGGGAAGCGGATTGGATACGTTGGCGAATTCGGAAAGGTCCGGCCTCCCCCTGTCTAACAGTGTAGTGATAGGTCGCTCACCTGAAATTTTCCAGATCCAAATCGATGAACTTACCAAATACTACAACATGTCCGCATCTGACTACACCGCCGTCCGCTGCGGCATGAACATCAGCAAGGCCATCAAGCGCGGCGAGATCGACGCGGGCATCGGCCTCGAGAATGTACAAATGGTCGAGTTGGAGGAATGGCTGGCTGAGCAGAATCGCCCCCGTTCCGACGTCCAGATGCTCCGCATCGACCAGCTCGCCGAGCTCGGTTGTTGCTGCTTCTGCTCCATCCTGTACATCGGCAACGAGACTTTTATTTCTCAGAACCCGGAGAAAGTCTCCAAGTTCCTCAAGGCCGTCAAAAAGGCCACGGATTACGTCCTCGCGAACCCGAAGGAGGCCTATGAAGAGTACGTGGACGTCAAACCCATCATGGGCACGCCAGTCAACCGCAAGATTTTCGAACGCTCCTTCGCCTACTTCAGTAAGGATTTGAAGAACGTCCAGCGAGACTGGGTCAAAGTGACCAACTACGGCAAACGGCTCGATATCCTGGATGCCAGCTTCGAACCAAACTACACGAATAAGTTCTTGAGTTGGGAACTTGAGCCTGAGTCTGGCGATCCGACGGGCGACCAGTGTCGGATGGCAGACTTGCAGCGTAAGGTTGCTGCTGAGGGTGGGTTCCGACGGCTTGAGGCCGCTGCGGTCAAGGCTTGAAGCTCACTTCAGACCCTCTCGATCAACATGGGTTATTAGGGATCCCTGTCCGCCGAATATGTTTTATACAATCCAATTGTGGTGGCATCGTTACTTGCGCAGGCGTTGCGTTCCTGCACACAAAAAATTCCATTAGGACAAAGTTGATTGAATGGCTCCGAAGCAGTTTGTTAATTTACCACAAGCCAGAAATGCTCCCCAACTAAATGACACTCTTTTACACAAGAAAAAGACTTAGTATGAAAATCAAATATTGTCCGACCTTTCATTGAGCAACGGTGGTTTCCATGCATTACCAAACATATCCATACATAATATCATACATCATACACGCGTCACACATGATTCAACATATATCCAAACCGACAACACAACCTGCCCCACCCCCCCTAACCATAATAAATAACCCCACTAAATACAAATCAATCACTCCTCATAATCACGGCCATCCCCCCTCCCCCCGGCTCCTTCACCCTCCCATGCCAGGCTCGAACTTGCGCACGAAGCCTCTCCGCTGCGGTGCGCAGCCTCGCGTGTCCGCTCACCCCCCTCTAATTTGCCGCCGGATTCCTGGCCGCCCATGGAGGAGAGATCTCATGGTGTTCAGTGGAGGATAGCGTATTATATTAGCCATTATTGTATGAGCAATCTAATATGTGGGTAGGTATAGTTGGGGGAAAGGGGGGGAAAAAGAAGACGAAACTTGCATAGCTGGATCCATGTTGGCGAAGCCGTTGGCATGGGTGGACTGGCAGCCCTTTTGGCGACTTCCTCGACCTCCTCCTGGGGACGGTTGGCAAAGTTGCCTGGGTATGGTTTCGGAGGTCATTTTTGCTAGGTTTTTCTTTTTGTGAGGTTGTAGACGTAGCGTAGTAGAAGTATTTAGGTTATTTTTGTTTGGTTCTGCAGCAGCTACCTAGGAGGACTTTTTTTTGAATGTTCTGTATTCTATAAGGTAGGTTTGGAGTTTACAACTGCTCTCCAAGAAGTATCCCGTTCATTAAAGTAAAATCAGAAATGGGAAGGCAACAAAATTGAATAGGGGGGACCCAGTACGGAGTAGATGTTGCGAAGTGCTAACAACAATAACAATAATAAGTTCAAACAACGACGACATTATTTTTCCAGAACATAGCTACTTAGATAGGTAGCTAACAGAACACATCCACAGCCGACATTTCTAGTCGTCCTTCTTCAGATCCTTGCACGTTCCAGTTTTCTCCTTTGGGAGTTGCTAGCAGTTTCGTAAAGGAGTCAGGTTGTTCAAAAGCTTTCCCCAAAAGCTTGAAGGGCACGGGGGGTATGGAACAAACGAACCTCGCAGTACCCGCTCTCGCAGATCCCCATACTCCCATCTTCCTTGCAGTCCTTTCCATTAGGGAGCTTGAATGAGGTTAGCTCGCGCTGTTGGTTGTAATAATAAGCATGGACGGGTATAATATTCATACCAAAGTCTGTGCACTGATAGTAGTGCCGATAAGGGCAAGAGTAGCAAGGAGAGTGAACTTCATGGGTACTGAGAGGAATTGGAAATGGAGAAGGATGATATAACTGTGCGGCGAGGTAGATATTGAATTGAAAGATGGTTTTCGTCAGCTCCTGGGGGGGGGGGGGTGAAAGGGTGCTGGCGACGTAGATATTTATATGAGCAGAGCGCAGCAGCTGCGGAGGCAGCTATTTATTACTGTTGCTTCGTGCATGCGGGCATAGTAGTGCAAATCATCCGCATTTCGCATGAGCGAGGTAATAATAGAGTGCGTTGATCATGATCAATGGTATTTTCATTGAATTGCACTGCATCAAAAGCAGTCCTCTTTTTGGCCAAAGGTGTTGTTTCCTTCCCGCGACTTGGGTCCTTGAAACGCGACCGCTTGGGTTTGCTATAGGCATATTTATAGCCAACCGCCTTTGTTCAACGGTCTAAATATATTTCCCAACAGTCAGATATTGACTTGGTCATCCTGTTTCATTCCGCTGCATGTGTATCTCGTCAACACGGTGTCACAAATAAATCTGGCGCATCATTATGCAAGCTTCGCGCGAAGCTTGTCTCTACAAAAGCTCTCCAGGATAGAAAAAACTATCGATTTTAGACCAAGGGGGGGTGAGCATGCTGGGAGATCCGTAGTAAATTCAAAAAATTTTGTTGCTAATAAAAACAGTGAAAATGAAGCTGTTGTTGTCCATTTTGTGCTGTAACTATATTAATAAGCTGCGCTATAAATTTTGTTTCCTTTGTGAGCATGTAACTAACTTAACTAACCAGAATACACTAAACATTGTCCTTTCTTCAATACATTAGTAGTTACACGGGAGATGAAGAATAAGTACTGTTTTTTAATCAACTATACTTTCAATCCTATCATTTTATAATGAATTGAAGCAAAGAATGAATCTGTCAACTAGACTCTTTGAGTTATTCATCAATAAACTGCGTATAGTCTCAACCACAGTCAGGCTAGTGTATGCTGGTCATATGTCAAAAAGGATACAAATTTATGGCGCAAGCACTGGAGCAAGCAACAAAGAGATTAAGACCTTCGGGGCCACAGCGAAAAGAGAAGGATGCCTTAGTTAACTCCTTCTAATTTGCGAATGAGTTCGCTCGAAATGAAAAGAGCGGGTTGCAGGCCCTTGAGATGCGGGAGAGAAGGTTTGTTGTTTGTTGAGGACATCAAAGCTATCAATTTGTGTGGTTCCTGACCGTCAGGGATGGACACAGAATACGATAATCCGTAACTACACTTTGCTCTCAAAAACCAGCTTTGGTATTGGTGTGTTTTGATGATCTGATGCGTGGCAGTCATGGCTTGTATCTCCAGTTGCGTGGAAACTAACGCGGTGTCGCAGACTCGCAGCTGGTGACACAGTCCCTTTGTGTCCTGCTGTGTACGGAGTTCTCCAGGGAAATAACGTTAACTAGGAATTGTAATCGGACACGGTGTGTGTTAGATGACTCCAGCTAGTATGTCTCAAGGCCTCTGTTGCTCGTATATAGCCTTCGACCATGCACACAGCAATCGCTGATTGCACCTACCAACTCGTGAAGAGCATTCATGCTCCCCATCATCCTCTGTTGGGAAATATAAGTATAGCTGCGGATGCGAGGCCATAAACACAGAAGTTAATCTGTATCTGAGTGTCTTTTGTGACCCTGCTTCACCAAAATTTAACTGCCAACCCGGACTGTAACACAGTGTCTCAGCACGGCGATATTGAAGGTCTACCCTTTCCCCCCTCCCCCTGGAGCGCCCACATCTTAAGTATGGTAGTGATTTCTTTCTATCGCAAGATCATCAAAAGACCACACTGCCCCGAAGAATCACGAGCGTATCTCTCGGTGCACTGACACGCTTTCCTGCGCAGCCTAGACCCCGTCTTGCTATCCTATCTCTAGCCTCTTCTCATCCGATGACGGAAGAAGATAGAATTGAACCCAAAGATGGAAAGAAAACCCCCTCCCACTGCTTGCCGTGACTCTTTAATGTCATGATGCTGGTACCGCAACGCCCCCAGAGTTCTTGAGTCGAGGGTCCCTGTCCCGCAACCCAGTCGCCGTAAACTCGGTAGTGCCACTGTATGTAGGTGGGGGGCTCTTCCAACCCCATAGCCGAACACTCCACGTCACCAGCCGAGAGGAAGAATTAATTGTGCATTCAGGGGACGGGGGGGTAAGTAAACATCTCAGACCCGAGCGGTTGTGGCCTTCTGTCAATACTCAGTGGAATTGTTTGCAGATAGATTCGACCTGTTGACAGATCGCGAATCTACCTAGGTTGGTTGGAAGGGTAGGTCTCGAGCTGGTTGGTAGACTTTCCGCTAACTCCTCCGTTTTCCAAGGCAGTCCCTATTCATCCACGCCCCAGCTTCAATGAAATCAAAGTTTTGCCAGTTTTCTCTTAGAACCTATTTAATTCGATTGACTTGATATTTGGCAGGCTGTTATTCGGCGCCTTCTGTGCCACTGTTTTATGGTGAATCATTTGGATTACACTTTTCCAAATTCAAGATATTTGATAATTCCTCCCATCCCTGGTGAGTTTCATCATATTGACATCGGAGGTTTAGCACCTTAATCGTGTTTTCCTGAATATCGATCGGCAACCCCCATGGGGAGACCTAGGAGCTGACATCAATGTGACGAAATATCTAAACGATATTTTCAAAACGTCACGCTGCTAGCAAATCCGATGCGCTTGAGTTTTGCCTTCGGGATATTGTAGCTGGAAGAAGGTAAAACTGGATAATGCCTCCCTGCTCACTACCTTACCCAGCCTTCAAAATCATGCGCGGTCACTGCAAATCCTCCCTGACGTGGTATCGCACCATGGTCGGTAATCTCAATGTCGATGACCAGACACAGGCGCAGGACCCGAAGCTCAACCAGCCCGTGTTGTTGCTGACCTCGCAACCGGGACCGCTGAATCTACCGGGCGCCGCCGATATGATGAGTGTCAAGGAGTGTGGGCACGAAGGGGCATTGGACATAGTTGGAGGCGAGGGATGAGATCAATGAGGCTCTGTTGAGGTTTATTGAGGGGGGATAGGAAAGGTGAAAGTAGATACAGTAATGTAACGTAACTATCATATAGATTGTGTGGAAATTCCACGGCGTGCAAAGAAAAGAATTATTATACACCCTTTCCACCTTGTTCCTATAATCAGTACAGCATATCCAGATCCCAAGCAGGAAGCCCAGCTCTCACTCACTAGGATTCGCAAACTCATGGGATTGGTTATTTGCGGTATTTATGATATCAGCTAAGGAGGTTACATGCACCCCTTGATTATTTGATGGCAATCCATTATGCCTGCTCTGGAAGGACAAGACAATATTCAAGCATCCCAAACCCCATATCGAATTAGTTGCAGTTATTTTAAGCTTCCCATCGAAATGCTTATTTAACCACGGTTCCAAGGGGTTATTGGCGAAGCCCTAGTTAAGTTGCCGGACTCTAGTAGACCCTGACGAGTCCCAGGAGTTAAGTCCTTTGTTTTCCTCGACGTGAACACTAGGTGGGGTGTTGATAAATAGCGGAGCTTCATTCGGGGATGAAGATGGGATGATATCAGAGAGCAGTTCTGGTAGTTATATATAACCCCTCACTTCCTACCCCGCTGATGCTCCTATACGTATATAAATTCGGGATAACCTCCTTTCAACTTTTACATTGGAAAGAGTTTACTTTCTTCTACAACATTCAAATTTGTTTTTAAAATCATTTAAAAAGTACCGTACCAAATATACAATTCTAGTTTAAAAAAAGCACCCAATATAAAAACATCCCCAAGATGTCCCTAAAATCCAACCGCGCCCTCCCCCTCCTCAACGCCGCCGTCGCCGGCAACTACGCCGTCCCCGGAATCTGCTGCTACAACCTCGAAGGCATCCTGGCCACCGTCCGTGCCGCCGAAGCCAAACGGTCCCCAGCCATGATCCTCCTCTTCCCCTGGGCCATCGAGTACGCCGGTGGCCTCCTCGTGCATGCCGCCGCCAGCGCCGCCCGCGCCGCCTCCGTGCCCATAACGCTCCACCTGGACCACGCGCAGAGCGCCGAGATCATCAAGCGCGCGGCAGACATGCAGCCGCTGACCTTCGACAGCATCATGGTCGACATGAGTCACTACGAGAAGGCGGAGAACGTGGTGCGGACGGCGGAGCTGGTGGCGTACTGCAACGCGCGGGGGATTGCGACGGAGGCGGAGCCGGGGCGGATTGAGGGCGGGGAAGACGGGGTGGCGGATACGGTGGAGGGCGGGTTGGAGGGGCTGCTGACGACGCCGGAGGAGAGTGGGGAGTTTGTGGAGACGGGGATTGATTGGCTCGCGCCTGCATTTGGGAATGTGCATGGCGAGTATGGCCCGCGGGGGATCCGGTTGGAGTACGACCGGTTAAGGAGCATTAGGGATGCGGTGGGGGATAAGGTCAGGCTTGTGTTGCATGGCGCGGATCCGTTTACGAAAGAGATTTTTAACAAGTGTATTGAGTGCGGGGTGTCGAAGGTTAATGTCAATAAGGTGGTTAATAGGGAGTATGTGCGGGTGCAGAGCGAGAAGGCGGGAAAGGTTCCTATTACTGTCTTGCACGAGGAGGTAACGGCGGCGATGCAGAAGGCGGTGGAAGGGGTGATGGATATGTTGGAGTCGACCGGGAAGGCGTAGTTAGCGGTTTTTCCATTAATATATATATATATATATTTTTTTTTCTACTCCATAGGTATTGAATATATGGTTATGACACTGCATTTTTACAAATTGATGATTCTCCATATATGTACAGAGGTAAAGAATGGAACAGAAACAAAGAAAACAAAACAACCAACAAATTGAAAATATGTCGACAAAAGAGAGCTAAAAACCTGACGAAAAAGGAAAATAAACAAAAAAAGAACGGGCGAGAATTTTTCAGTATCCCTGCACCCTCAATGCGCGAGACAGCGAACCCAGGGCTTTTTTCCGCTCTTTTTTTATTAGGGTTAGGCCCATCATGGAAGTCGTCGGAATGCCACGGTACAGCGAACTGTAAACGAGAATGAAAGAGCTGTAGCACCAAAGATAGCAGATGGTGCCATCAAGTCCGGCGCTAGCAATTGGAGGATACAAACACAAATGACAAAATTTGAACAGAAACAGAGAGAGCTGTGCGATCCTATATCTATGCAAAGGCCATCATTTTCTTAATCTCCGCAATGGCCAAACCGGGGTTCAATCCCTTGGGGCAGGTTCTCGAGCAGTTGAGGATGGTATGGCATCTGTACACGCTCATGCTGTTGTCGAGATCAGCCTTGCGCTCCTCGGTCTTCTCATCGCGGGAGTCGATCAGCCACCGGTAAGATTGCAGCAGCAGAGCAGGGCCGAGGTATTCTTCCGAGTTCCACCAGTAGGATGGGCAGGAGGTTGAGCAGCAGGCGCACAGAATACACTCGTAGAGTCCGTCAAGTTTCTTGCGGTCAGCGGGTGATTGGCGGTGTTCACGGCCCTAGAATGAAATTGTGAGATGGTTTACTTTATAGATAGTTATATTGTGAGAGTAACAGAGATAGTGAAGCACATACGTCTGGAGATGGGGTGTCCCGCTGGAGGTAGGGTTTGATTGATTTGTATTGTTTGTAGAAATAGGTCAAATCGGGGACTAGATCTTTGACTACGTAGGTGTGGGGGAGGGGATAGATTCTCGACTCTTTGGCAGTCTCAGTAGGGATACGGCCTGTATAGTTCATAGTTCAGTATAAATCAAGGTGGTACGTGATGTGTGGAAATGAAAAGTTGGACATACATAAGCAAGCCAACGTATTAACGCCGTCAATGTTCATGGCACAGCTACCACAGATACCCTCTCTGCAACTTCTCCGGAAGGTCAAGGTCGGATCCTGCTCGTTCTTTATTCTGATTAAGGCATCCAGTACCATGGGGCCGGTCTTATTCAGGTCGAGGGTGTAGTCTTGCATGTAGGGCTTCTCGGTGGGCTTGTCCGGGTTCCATCTGTAGACCTTGAAAGTCTTGAGTCTGGGGGATTCCGATGTCGCCGGGGTCTGATCTGCGATCTTGGAGCCAGACTCGACGGTGGCATAAGATCTCGAGGCTACAGAGGGGCGGAAGAGAGGACGAGAGGCAGCGATCAGGCGGGAGGTCGGGCGTAGGGAGGCCATTTTGACGGATGTCTTTGGGGATGCCCTCCAATTGAAACGAGAGAGAAGAGTGTTGCAGATGGGATAATATGCGTAAAACGGTGTTGTAGTCGTCGTCTTATCCTTATTCCCAGTCTTCCTCCAGCTGGTTGCTGTGCTGTGTGCGAGATTAATTGAGACGTCGTCGGTGATGCTCCGTGGTGTTTGGAGGATGATTCTCGCGCGGTGTCTTTCTCTTCTTCGCCGACCTCGGGAAGCGGGCGGGCCCGGTTATGTCAGCAGAAGGAACTAGCCAATCATGGGACAGTGATTACCACATCGAACTTCATCTTGAAATTCTTATTGATATTTATGTTTATGCTGCGTATGCTAATTAATATAAGTTGGTTAGACCGCTGACTGCCCTAACTGGCTATCACTACTCTGCTTATTCCTAGCATCCCATAGAGTAGTCCTCAAAAGATATCTATTATCCGCAGCTCCAACTCCCAATATGAAAGTCACGTGATATAACGCCCACCAACAAGCCCTAATTTCCTATTCCGGCCACGCTCAGCGTGCCAACCTCCTTACTGTCATCCATGTTGGCTTTATACGAGCCGCCAGGGGATAACAGGACGGACTAACCAGATACATTTATATCTTTGCAGGCCGTGTCAGATCGAGACGCTGCCGTCTCTACCCCTCTCACCACGGTGTGGACCATGGCCTGACACCCGGCTTCATCCTGAGAATTGATTCATTTCATTCTCCTGTCACTCACTAAACTTAACGCGGCAGCCCATCCATCCATACACTCCTTCTAGACAGATCGCGGGAACATCCTGCTTAACTCCAGTGTCTTCATTCAGCCCCTGACTCTCGGCGCAGAGGGAGATATTCTATCCGAAGTATCACCGCCTACCAGCAGGAATCGGGCCAGATAGCCCTGTGCTGCTCGCGTTGACATTTAGATACCCTGGAATCTGATATATGGCCACCACCCCCGCCTCATTTGGCCTACTTAATCCTTTGCGCACGACGGGTTATCATGAATAAGAAAAAAATTTCAATTGCCGTTCCTGACACACTCGTTTAACTACATATCCGAAGGAAAAAAGCTCAGAAGAAATCGCTTCGGAAAAGTATATACATATAGGTATATATCTATAATGCCCCCATCAATCAGCACTATCTCCTCCCTCACCCGCACAATCTCCTCCACGAGCATCCACAGCCTTAAGGATGAAGAACCCGCCCGCCCTCACCCTCTCCGTTCCTCGCCCACGGGCCCACAACCCGAACACACCGCGATAAAACACGTCAAATCCGGTTCCGCGCAAATCTCCGTCTCCGAAATCCCCAAACGGAAGCCTGTCGCCTTCCCCGCCACTACCACGACGACAACTGTAACAGCAATACCATACCAAGACTCCCCATCCGCGGAGAACGGCGCCGGCGCGGCCTCCACGAACCCACCCTGGCTGTCCTTCATCGCCAAACTGAAACGTCCATTCCCTAAACTAACGCCAACCGCAGCATGGCCGACACGGCAGCCAGCATCAGAACCCGCAACAGCACCCGCAGCGACAAAGTCAGCAGCAAAGTCAGCAGCAACGTCAACATCAACGTCAGCAGCGGCAGCATCACATCTCGACAACATAAAAGCAAAGCTCCCCTTCCAGTCCAATAAAAAGAAACAGCGCATCTTCCTCTTCGCAATCGGCGGCATAATCCTGCTCCATCTTATCCTCGTAATCGGACTTGCAGCAGGGCTTTCCGCACGGAAGAACAAGGGCCAGGGGTACGGCGACCTGCCGCTACCCAGCGCCCATGGCGGGCCGTATACTGGTGATTTAACCTATTACGACCCAGGGCTGGGTGCGTGTGGGATTGAGAGTGCGGCTGGGGAGCCGGTGTGCGCTGTGTCGCAGTATTTGTATGATGCGGTGGCTGTGGGGACGAATCCGAATGCGAATCCACTGTGTGGGAAGAGGGTGCGGTTGAGGAGGGCGGGGAGGAGTGTGGATGTTACTGTTGTGGATCGATGTAAGTATTTATTATGTTGTCTTACGAGCCAGGGTTGTTCGTTACGTTGTATGGTGATATGTGCTGACTATACGATATTTTTGCCGTAGGCGTTGGATGCCAGCCGAATGATATCGACGTCTCGCTGAGCGTTTTCACGCAGCTGGCCTTGGAGGAGCAGGGGCGTGTCGATGTGCAGTGGGCGTGGTTGGAGGAGACACCTCTCCAACATCTGCGGGGATAGGTTGGTAGCTAAGTCCATCTCCGTCATGGGAGGTGGTATACTCCCTCCCTTCTGGATTTTGGAAATGCGAACTGGAATTTTGATTTTGATTTTGATTTTGATTTTGATTTTGATTTTGATTTTGATTTTGATTTTATTTCTTGATTTTGATTTATGAAACTGGTGTTTCATGTTTCATCGTTTCGTTTCGTTTCGTTTGATTTGGGTGATTGAACGGATTACGGTTCCTTGCTATATTGTTTTTGGTGTTTATTTACCCCCCTTGCACTCAACCCAATCTTTTCTTGAACTCCTCAGAGTTTCCAGCCCTTGACGGGTAATTTGGGAATATTCTTCTATCTTGTCGATATCGAATCCATTTAAATTGAACGATACGCCATTTACGTGCACTTCATATATCTCTATTTATTTTCTTTTATGCAATGCCCACTTCCAGAGAAAAGGGTCTGTTAACCTCCAAAAATATTATCTTGCCATGATATGACGTGAATGAAATAATATTCATTTCCCTTCCCCCACTACTCACAATATTAGATCCCATATGCCAAATCAATAATCGGGGAATTCCGCCTCAACCTCATCCCTCCACGCCCTAAGTCCACCCCGGATATCGCCCACCCACCTCTCACCTCCCCTATCAACACCCAGCTCTTTCAGCTTTCGCACCGCCACCTGGGAATCATTCCCCAATCTGCACACGACATGGATCGGCCTGGTGGGGTTCGCGTCGAGGAGAGATGAAGGGTACCAGGATGGGAGAGTTGTTGTCGCTTTGTTTGAAGTTGGGTGTGTGCCATTAGCCGCTGATTCAGCCGTGGAGTTCGAGTTCGATTGCACCGTGGAGGAAGAGGAAGAAGACGAGGACGACGACAAGATCAGCGACATGGGGATATTAACGCTCCCCTCCAACGCGCCCAGGCCAAACTGCACTGCCTCCCGGACATCAATTAAGATCGGCTCCTCCCGCTCCACCTTCACCTCCTCCTCCGCCTCCGCCTCCGCCTGCAACTGCTCTCGATACCGCCTCCAATACTCCCGAGCCGATATCCGCTCCTCAACCCCCAACAGTGCCTGTGGACCCACCACCCCGCCACAGAACTGCACATAATCCATCAACCCACTGCGCAGTGAGTCCAGTGTAATCGTCCCCGCCGTTGGCGAACATGCCGCGCAGTTCCGCCGGCGCGGGCGCAGGCGTATGCTGCGGAAGGGTGGGTTGGAGAAGGCGGAGAAGAGATGGAGGGTTGGTGGGGTTGTTGGGGTTGCGGTTGTTGTTGTTGTTTGTGTGAGGATGCGGATCGTCTCGAGTGCTTGGAGGACGCCCATGAGCCCGACGACGGGGCCGATGATGCCGCCGTCGGCGCAGCTAGTAACGCTAGCGGCGGGAGGGGGTTTAGGGAAGACGCAGCGATAGCATGGTCCTCCGATGGTGGTGGTAGACGGAGAATTGTTAGTTGACGAGGCGGATGGCTTTTCTGCTGGCTTTTGGGGCGGGTAGTTGAGGACCATTAGCTGGCCTTCGGTGCGGAGGGCGGAGGCGGAGACGAGCGGTTTCCCCAGTAAGACGGCGGTATCGGAGATCAGGTAGCGGGTTGCAGGGTTGTCGGTGCAGTCGAGAATGAGGCCGTAGGGGCTGAAGATTGAGGGGGCCTCGGCGGGCGTAAGGTGGGTGTGGTAGGGTATGTATTTGGGGTGTGGGTTTAATCTGAAGGTTTTATATGTCAGTGGGACAGTTGGATGTGTCCAGCACAGAAAACAACAAGAACGTACTCTTTCAAATATTCAATCGCGCTATCAACCTTGAACTTCCCGACATTCTTCGTCCGATGTAGCACTTGTCGATGCAAGTTCGATCCTTCAACCGTATCCCCATCTATAATGCCGATCGTCCCAACCCCAGCTCCAGCCAGGTACATCGCAGCGGGGCATCCCAGGCCACCGGCGCCAACGATAAGAACCGACGATCCACGCAGTTTTAACTGCCCTGTAACAGAAACAGTTCACAAATTAGCACCGTAACTCTCATTTCATTTTAGGAATAGTTGTTATATAGACTAGGAGGAACTTACCCTCCAGCCCGATCTGCTCAACAATCATCTGCCGCCCATAGCGTCGATACTCATCCTGCTCGAGCGGGTATCTCCGTATTCCTTCAGTAGGCTTTGTCCCCCCGTTCACAACTTCGGAACGACTTGTAGCCTCTGATGTTGCAGTCGTCTCCGCGGCAATCTGCCTTTCCGTTAGCTCGAGTTCTGCTTTGAGTTGGGAGAGCTGAGCTTCGGTGGTGGCGATTTGCTGCTGGAGGAGTTCGCGGGATTGTAAAAGATTCTTCATTTCCCCCCCTTCTGTTCTTTATCATGCTTTGTCTCCTTGATGCCTGCTCAAGGGAGTTGGCTGGTTGGTAGTTGTGGTGAGAAATGAAGATTAGAGGGTGGGGTTGGTTGGGCGGGGTGAAAATTGATGGCCGGAGCTTAACTTTATTCCAATATCTTGTTATAGGGGAGCGGTGAAACGATTCACTATGTAATAATTGAAAATAGTATATATGTGGCCTCTCAATCATTTCGCACTGTTTTTACGATGCTTTTTATTCTTTTCCATGGTGTCCTTTCACGGAAGAAATGATATATACAATATTCAAATTGCCCTAGAACTTGAAACTCTATAGAAGAAACTCCATACACCGGTTCATTCATCCTATGGACGTCCCTTGAGCTATGCGTATCCACACTATTCACCTATGTTTGCAATCTATCGCTACCACATATGAACCTTCTTAGACCTGTAGGACCGGAAACCGCCCAGTTAACTGCCCGAACAGCACCGACACCCTCGTGCCGGTATATGCTCCAGTCGAAGAGATAACAAGACATCTTAGAGCAACAATTTGCGCTCATAAATATAAAGCATTCCACCATCTATCATCCTCCCGCGGGATAAATCGCCTAAATAAAATGACATAATATACTCCTTCACGTGGGCCTGTCAGCAGCCTTATTAAACTCCGGATTCTGATCAATAGTCTGCGAAATAAAACTACGCAACGCTGCCCAGCGATTCGACGTCGAGGCATCCTCAACCTGTGGTTGTGATGGTGACTGTGCCATATGGACTGGTGTATTATTATTATTCAAGGAACCCGGGCCACCTGCCGTCGAAGGTGAAGCTGCCGCCATCTGTGCCAGATTCTTCGCAAACCGCTCCCTCTCCCTCCGATCCAGAGTCTCCTTCCTCTTCATCGCGCCGGGTTTATGTTTCAAACTCCTTTGTCGGATGATGTTCATTTGGCTCGCCATCATCTCTCTTTGTTTGTCAATAGTATCATTAGGGGTATTATTATCGTTGCCAGTGTCAGGCAGAGCATCAACCAGTGAATCGAGGTTAGCGACTAGTTTCTTCGAGGGGCGCCGCCTTTTTAGGGTCTTGGTGCGTGGCTTTTCGATCTTAGAGAGGAAGATAGAGTGCTTTATTTGGCGTTTGTCTTTTTTGTTTGTGCGCAAGGTTGATGTGTCGGAGAAGGGGCCTTGGGATGGAGTGGAGGAGGTGGTTGGTTTCCGGGCGATTTTTGCCCGGGTTGTTGTGCGCTTTTTGAGGGCGATTGGAGCCTATCAGAGTCTTGTTAGAAATAGAAACAAGCGGAGTGATTAAGCGCTGAGCTTACCATAATGCTGGAGCTATGAAGGGTGTTGGTGGTTGTCTTGTATCGATGTGATAAGCCTATTCGAGTGAGCCTCAAAAATTTTAGCGCGCGGGATCGAAATTAGAACTTGTTGCCGATAAATAAGCGCGCGTCTGCATCTCCGTTGTCTTGGCGCTCGTTTTATCTGGAATAACATATGGAAGAGAGACCAAATGACATAAAGAAATTTAAAAAGTCAATCGCGATATGCTGAATTCATTGCAGCACCCTAATTTTTCACTTAAAGAAAGCAGTCTCGGAACCTCCATCCATATCTGACCATTGAATCAGCATCATGCTAGTGTCCAAAAAGCGTTTTATGGACCATAAAATCTCAAATGTTGTTTGCAGATAAGGAAGACATAACATGCGCTGTTTCAGAGAAACGTAGAGTGTCTAATTCAGCAGATTTATCCCTACGGATAGCAGCCACTGGCTTGTGATCTGGAGGCCTGGGAACAACCACCAGCCAGAGGGGCTGGCAATGGGAACAAGCTTTCGGCCAGTGGGTTGGGGAGAATGGATAGGAACTTCACTGATTGCCCAGTGGCACATTCAGAGAGAGTGTGAGTTCATATGAGTGTGAGTTCATAATGTTCGTATCGCCTCCGATGTTTTCTCATCCCGGCTCTGGCCGTTTCCTCCGGAAGCATGTACGTAAGCCAAGACACGGATAAACTGTTGTGATCTAGATCATTGGGGGGAATAATCGTTAACATATGATACGCGTTGTTTACTCTTATTAACATGTATATCAAATAACAAACGTAGAATCGAATAGAGAGGAGTAACAACAAATTCTCATCATTCAACAATATACAATAATAATATATGCCTATCAAGTGCCAAAGTCTAGATCTGTCGCTGGCGACTGCCGCCCCCGAGAGCTCTGCCCCACCTTTTCCCTTGTTGGGCAGCCTGCAGCCAATCACGGGCCGACTTTCAGCCGCAGCCCAATCAAAGGGCATTGAGACTGTTTGGGGCAATTCGGATACCTTGATCAGGTTTTCTTTACATCTGTTCTCTTCCGTTTTGTAACCCTTCTCATCTCGATTTCCAACGCTATATATATCTCTTAGCCTCTGCCTCTATTGCTGTCTACTTCTCGTGAATGTCCTGCACCTCTCCACGGCCAATTCGTCTCACTTCCTCTACTGCATTCGCATTCTGTCGGCCAACTTCGCCGCCCCTCCGCCGCTTGCCCCAACGCTTCTCCGCTGCCAGCAAAGCCATCCGTCACCGCTCTTATTTAAATACTACCTGCTCACTTCCTCCTCCTCCTCCTCTTCGCTCAACTTTTCGATATAGCCCCTTTGGTCCCAAGTTACCCGCGCGCTCATACACCATGACTTGCCTTACACCACACCTGAGGAGACATAAGGTGACCGTAATAGGGTCCGGAAATTGGTAGGCTTTCTCCCCGCGTCTCATTCTTGAAGTGATATAGATATAGTTTTCTAATCTAACATAACGCATATATGTTATAGGGGCTCTTCAATTTCTAAAATGGTCGCTGAAAACACAGCAGCTAACCCGGACATCTTCGAGCCAACGGTGCAGATGTGGGTATATGAGGAAAAAGTCGAAGTTCCCCAGTCCTCGAAACACTACAACAAGGAATTGCCCATCTGCAATGGGCTCCAAAACCTCACCGATATCATCAACCAGCTGCACGAGAACGTCAAATACCTGCCCAACATCACCCTACCAAAAAACCTCCAAGCAAACCCATCCCTCGAAGACGCTGTCAAGAATTCCACCATCCTTGTCTTCAACCTGCCCCACCAGTTTATCAATAACATCTGCGACAGACTCAAGGGCCACATCGTCCCCTACGCTCGCGGCATATCATGTATCAAGGGTGTCAACGTGACTGCTGATGATGGCGTAAGCCTCTTCTCCGAATCCATCGGCAGTAAGCTGGGTATCTACTGCGGGGCCCTCTCGGGAGCCAACATCGCCAGCGAAATCGCCAAGGAGCTCTACTCCGAAACCACGATCGCCTACGACCCGCCCCATATGGACTCCAAAGCTCCCACTCCCAAAACCCTCTCCCCCGCCCCGTCCATTGCCAACATCAATGTTCCCCTCCCGCACGTCGTGCACTTCGAACACAAGGACTCGTCTGGCCGGTTCTCCAAAGTAAAACTCCAGGCACTGCCCGTCGAATACCCGCCCATCGATCACGGGCTGATCAAAACCCTATTCCACCGCCCTTACTTCCATGTGCGTGTCATCAGTGATGTCGCAGGCGTGTCTCTAGGCGGTGCGCTGAAGAATATCGTCGCCCTAGCTGCCGGCTTCGTCGACGGGAAGGGATGGGGTGATAATGCGAAAGCAGCTGTAATGCGCGTCGGGCTACTGGAGATGGTGAAGTTTGGCACGATGTTCTTTGGAGCATCGGTGAACTCGCAGACGTTTACCGAGGAGAGCTGCGGAGTTGCGGATCTGATTACGAGCTGCAATGGCGGAAGGAATCATCGGTGCGCGAAGTTGAGTATCGAAAGGGGGCTGAGTGTTGACGAAGTGGAGAAGCAAGAACTTAATGGGCAGATGTTGCAGGGGACGTTGACCTCCAAAGAGGTTAACATGTTTTTGAAGAACAAGGGGTTGGAAGGGGAGTTTCCGCTTTTCACGGCGGTTCACCGTATGTATTTTTTCTTTTCCTTCTGCCTTGCTTCTTTTCTTTCGGAGAGGATGACATGCTCACTTTGCATACTACGGAAACTAACAATGTTACAGGGATTCTGAACGGAGAGGTGCGGGTGGAGGATTTGCCCAGTCTGATTGAGCGGTAAATGGAAGGAAATTCTTTAAGCATGGAGTAAAGGGAAGTAGTACTCGCGATACCCAGTTATATGCGTTTATAGCTTATTATCATTATCATTATTATTTATTTGTTTTGATGCATATTGGGTAAATACCCCCCGCTTTGCCTTCCGAGGAGGTCGACATATACACACAAGTATACTCGAAAATTGACGACTCTCAGTTTACGTGTTACATACGGGCGGTTCGCTTAAAATGGTGGTTGGTGTTTTGTGAGGGACAGGTTGTTTTTCTTTCCTTTAAATTTCAATTATGGTATCTAGTTTTCTAGCAATAGTTAATGGCATGAAAGTGGTGGCGGGTATATAGTATACGGCATAAATAGTATATTTGAATTGCAAATAACTGAATGGATCATGTATAACTATTTGTTAGGGATCAGCCGACGTGGAAGCCGCCGCCTGACAGATGATGATGTCAGCGACAAACTCAATCGTCCAGCAGGTCATTCCTGGCCTGGAGTTTTATAATAGATATAAAAAGAATCCCTCGCCCTGGATGCCACTTCCATCTCCCTATACCATGCGGCAGTCATCGCTCTCTTTCCTACTCCAGATACCCCTCCTATCAGCATTCCCTCTGGAAGATACATAGAGCAAACAGATAAACAATAAAAATAGCAGACTCAAGTAACCTAGATACCCTATACGCGACTTGCAAACATGTCTTCCCAAAGGCGAGTCGTTTACCTTCTGCCCCTGACGGACAGTGGCGCCCCAGATGTCCTGCGGGAGTTTATCGAGCTACCTCCACCCTCCGACCCGCCATATATCCTCCGCTTCGTCACTGATGGGAGCAGCCCCATTTGCAACCGAGGGAGTCTATGGGTTAATATCCCGAAGGAAGGGAAACGGTTTGAGAGAGATGTATTTACGGAGTATAGGTAGGCAATTTCTTTTCTATTTATGCCTACTACATCTCT